CTAAGCTACAAACAACCAAGCAAACTCTCACAACTTCAAAACACTCAATTAAATTTACTTACAGTGACTTTCCTTGCCACTTTAAAGTGAACAGAGATAAACTTGCGTTGACTAATTGTCGATGGATGTGTAAAAAAGGCAAAAGATTGACGATTACCGCTAACTTTTAGGAGCGAAATTTAGGCAGCGGGGAAAAAATCCGGCCCGTGGGCCGTATCGTGAAAAGCTGGACCGCTCACGTGCGGATGATTAGCAAATCAAATTCGAGGATTTAGGATTCCGGCCCGCTCATATGCTTGAGAAGAAAATAAAACATTTTATCTTCAGTCTTAAAGACTAAACAACTATTTTAGATCTTCTTGAATGAAAATATGCCAATAGGTTTTGACAAGAGAAGATGAGGTCATTTTCATGGTGGTGTCCCTTTACATTCATCCAGTAAGTTGACTGCAAAGCGCACAGAGTGGGCGTAGACAATGGAAAGCAAAAGGGTCATCAGGATAACAGACAGTTAGACATTGTTCCTTACAAACCACATTGACGTCTTGTTCTTATAAGAGATTTTATCATATATTGCGTATTAAACTGGCTTAACCAATCCGAATCGCTTCCCAGATTGTTTGTAGTGTTGTTTTATTATAGCGGACTTTGGTTTCTGGAAATTGATTTAGCTTGGAATGGAAGGATCTTTTTCTTCGAGTATAGCAAAAACACTATTATTGTTCAGTGAAATGTTGCGTATAAATAATGCTAGCACAAGTGAAGTGCAGCCTTCATTTCGCTTCCAGATGAAAGTTTCAAATCTGGGAATTTTTTTTGCACGTAGATCATCTAGAGTAAAGCAGTAACTGGCAAAGTGATAAAATTTCCTCCTTTTTCTTCACTGCTTAATAAAAATAGTGCGAAACGTCGTGGGAACTTTGTACTCTTCAAAAGCTGAAAAAAACACCATTCCTTTCCGGACGTAAACTCTACGAAAATTAATGAAAAACTTCGAGCAGCCGTGAGTTGAAACGAAACATTGAGCTTTCTGGTAGGTCTCTGGTATGTAACAACGGAGTACATGCTGTTTAATAGATAGCAAACCAAATGTATTAAAGTTTGCGTCTTTTTCATTATCAATAAGTACAGCAAAGTAAGATATTTTCAACAAAAACCAGCTGTTGCAATGAATATTGTGTCCATGAACGGGTCGATTGTCGCTTTCTCCCTTTATTTTCCTCAAATTTCTTAAGTATTAGGTCAGCCATAGAAATGTAGATTTTTATCGATGAAAACATCCACGTACTTAATTGTGTTGAGCAATATATACTCGTGCACAAATTCTTCTGAACAACAGCAGCACAGTCGCTGCAAAGAGTCTGTCAGCCTAGCCAAGATGAATCTCACCGAAGACAGCAACACAACACTTACCTGTGCTTTTGACTTTCTCCCTCTCAACCCAACAAATGTTTCACCAGGTGTGTTTGCTACTTTCATCGTCAAAACTATCATGAATGTTTTCACCTGTCCGTTTACCATTGTGTTAAATATTTTGGTGATGATTGCGGTGAAAACAAAACGACAGCTTCGCATCAAATCTAACATCGCTCTCTGCTTTTTAGCCACAACTGACTTCATTGTGGGACTAGTTCTTCAACCTCTGCAAATCGCAACCTTTGGTTTGGTGCTTAAAGGCGGTAAGACTTCAAACGTGCTATGTACTCTGATCGTCGCAGCTAGGACCGTGAGCGTTACGTGCACTTTGGCATCGCTCTATCACTTGTTCGTGATGAGCGGGGAACGTTATTTGGCGATAAAACACTCCCTCGCATACGAGACGAGTCTGGTAACTGAAGTGTGCATCATGATGGCCTCCGGTCTGTCATGGGTAGGTGCACTGATCATCTTTCCCATTGACTTCATATCTGAAGCTAACAGACAATTTATGTCAGCATTAACAGTATTCGTGACACTTTTCGTTTTCATCCCCGCAATGATATATTTTCATGTTACCGTATATAAAGAAGTTCACTGAAACATGAAACAAATTATTACTAATCAAGTTTCCTTGGAAGCGAAGGCAAAGTTGCTTGAAAATAGGAAATCCTTTTATACAACACCTATCATTCTCCTTACAGTTTTTGTGTGTTATATTCCAACAAATATTTGGATTGTCATTCTTGCAGCCTCGAAGAACACAATCCCTGTAAATGTAAGACATGTCGTCTTTAATGTCACTTCTTCATTACTCGTGCTAAATTCCTTGTTTAATCCGTTGATTTATGCTGTTAGAATAAGATGCTTTCGCGTCGCTTTCATTCAGTTGCTGTCGAGAAAAACTCCTTCAAAAGCTCAGGAGCTTGAAAAAAGAATTTTTGGTTCAAAACAAAGTGGAGCTGGAGCCATAACTAACATAACTAACCAACAACAAAACAAAGCTAACGGAGAAGACGAGGTGAAAGAAGCAACTTTAAACAATGTGCAAGAAACGCACTTCAACGGCCGAACACAACGTTAACCCAGAGTCCGTGCAGCAACGTTTTGAGTAGGGAACCAAGTGGGCATGCCCAGAATCATAAACTTCCAGTACTTAACAAGGAGTGTTTTAACTGTACAAGAATGGACATTTACAAAAAAAATTGTCAGTTTAAGTGTAAATAAATGTTGTTGTTTTAAAATACAGACATTTACAATCCAGCCTTTAAGGTTGACTTTGAAATCCTGCTTTATGCAAGAAATTTACTCAGCATTCTCAGCATAAAGGTTCACTTTAAAATCCTGCTTTATGCAAGAAATTTACTCTACATAAACATTTAGTAGACTTTGGATCCAACAATTTTCTCCCAACATAATTCATCGTAACACCGGATAAATACACACATTAACAACCTTTCTCCCCAACCGGCATAACCCGATTATTTAACAGCCCGTTGCCGTGGCTAAGGAAGGCGGAAATTTGACACTATATGGGAGGGATAGGAGAGGATTTAGCAAAATTTCCGCGCTTTTACCTTGATCGAAATCACGGTAGAAATCTTGGAGATCGAGACGTTAATAAGGGAAAACCCTGTTTGTTTGTGGGTTCCTGGCTGGAGAAAAAGGGCCTGAAAAACCTCTGTGTTGCGTTTCAAGGTAAAATATACCGCTTTGATTCTATTTTCTGTGTCAAGGAAGGGTAGAATAATAAATAATAATAATAATAATAATAATAATAATATATATAATAATATATATCCAAATCACGTTAATTTCTGTTTTACTAGATTTTTTTCTCCAAGTATTTCCTACGGGAAGGGGCATATGAAGACCAATTTTTGCCCAGGGGATGGGAATTTGACAAACCGAAAATTCAAAATATCTAATGCCCGGGGGTTGCCCACAGGAGGAAGTTGAAAATTCGAATTAACCGGTACATTACAGAGTAAAATGAATTATTTTTACATGCATATGTTCTAAATTCTTTTGAGGTGGGGTCANATAATAATAATAATAATAATAATAATAATATATATAATAATATATATCCAAATCACGTTAATTTCTGTTTTACTAGATTTTTTTCTCCAAGTATTTCCTACGGGAAGGGGCATATGAAGACCAATTTTTGCCCAGGGGATGGGAATTTGACAAACCGAAAATTCAAAATATCTAATGCCCGGGGGTTGCCCACAGGAGGAAGTTGAAAATTCGAATTAACCGGTACATTACAGAGTAAAATGAATTATTTTTACATGCATATGTTCTAAATTCTTTTGAGGTGGGGTCATACGGGTAGAATTTGAGAAGAACGTGATTTAACCTACTAGTGCCCATCTCTCCTTAGGTACCCGGTCGTTCATTGTGGCCATTTGTTGACGTTTAATTCTTCAAGTTTCGCATAGAATGGTAAAAGACGTAAGTAAACAGTAAATAGGCAAAGGATTAACATCTTGGAACATTTTTCAAAAGAATTAGAAGTTGGGCTGTTATAATCCATCAAAACTGTAGTAAGCCACCTTGTTGTGACTTGAAACTGCAGTGAATGGATCTTTAAAGTTGCAGACATGGTTATTAAAAGAGCTAATAATTAACGTGGAAGGCACAAACTACTTCTTTTAGTGCTATTTAGAAGTTTTGAGTTTAGCACATTGAATTACAACCGACCTGGAACAACAAAGGATTTTGCTCTCTCCAGTCACTCCCATGTGCATTTTTTCTTTTTTTTTTCATTCTGTGTCATTCCCTTCAATTCTCTTCACTCTATAGGGGTCATACCTTCAGTTAAGTTTACTTACGTTTAAATATCCGTTTGTTTGCTTTTTTCAATTTTTTCCAGCCAGAACTTAAGGTGATTCCTCACATTTGCATTGCGCATCCTTACTGCGCATAATTTATGGCGTCTTTCGCGCGCGCTCGTGCACGCGCACGTTGAAAACAGGGCGGATTTGCCTTGATATTGAGTTCCGTCAGTTGAAAAATGGCTATAGCTCACTAACGAGATCGGGCACCCCAATTTTTTTTCAGTCATTTTAATCAACTAATCATTAGCTTTGCGTGAGAAAAGACTGATCTGATTTCTATTGTTGAAAATTGAAAAAATAAGGAAAATAACAGCTGCACTGTAGTCTTTTCTATTTTGCAGTTTGATAGCCGTGGCAAGCAATTTGGTTCCAATATTTTAACGAGGATTCAGCTGTCTGTCAAAATCAAACTTAAAAAGTTTATCTGCGTCCGACACAAGTATTGACTGTAGTTTGAGGCGTGTTTTCATGAGTCTGGACTCACAAAGAGTTTACAATAACTTGGAATGCGTTCTTGTAATGAGCATTAAATAATGCTAAAATGGGACATTTTTACTGTCTCACTGCTCCTTGACGAGCATGGGCAAGCCCCCTTTTTTATTCTATAATTAAAGTTCTCATACGATAAATATTCAGTGGACAAAGTTTGAACAAAAATCTATTGGCAGTTTTATTTCAGGGGAATAACCTTAAGAAAACGTACTTTAACGTCATCGCTTCGGCATGCATTGCGTGCCGAATGTTTTTTACTTGGTGTTACTTGGTGTCGTCTTCATTAGAGCTGTAACAAACACTGCTAATAGATGACCATAGCATGTTATTTTCTCACCAAGACGACGTTTTGATCGTGAACCTTTGTCAGTGAAAGCTAGTGAAACACGAGTTGTTCACCATTTACCCGAAAATTCCGGAAATTTCGGTCAGAATGTCAATGGCTCGACCGACCAAGGTAATATCTAGCATGTAAAGACCGTTTCAGAGCCTCACTTGTTTTGTTAACGCCAACGGTGTAACGCTTTTCGCTTTATGTTGTATTGAAAGTGAAATTATCCTCTTAATGTCGCTGCTTTAATTAAAAGTTAATTGTGAAGAATGACAATGTTTTGTTTGTCAAAAGGGTTTTACATTCGAACCATTTACATTCTGACTGAAATTTCCGGAATGAATTGAATGGAAGGGAAAGTTTGTTACAGCTCTAATAAAGATGACAACACGGACGACATCAAGTAAAAAATATACGGCACGCAATGCATGCAGAAGCGATGACGTTAAACTGCCGGAAAATGCGCAATAAGCGGAGCGCCTTGACAGGTTTTCCAAAATTTCCAACCAAAATAACCGAGTGGAAAATTTGCTTACCATTTGCAATTCTTGGAATTATGATCACGTTTAACCCATCCTTGTCCCTTTTGGTAAATTGTTTATTTTTTTTTTTTTTAGTAAATGGTAAATGGCCAATCCGAACGGAACTTACCATCAGGTATTTTTGCTTACCATTTGCACAAACCTTTTAAGAACCGATTTCTCCGTGTAAATGGTAAACAACCATGTTCTCCGGCTGTGGTAATTTGATCAAGTGACGAATCTCTACTCAGTAGGTCACTGTACCCCAATCATCTTTTTTTTGTTTGTATCTAGTTGTATTTATGAAATCACAAATCATTCTCTTTCAGTGACAATATAAATTCTTACCTTGTTGAAGAATGTCTGATTTCACACCCAGCGGTTTTGGACTGTGCTGTGGTCAGCAGTCCTGACCCACTTGGACAGGTCAGGAAGACCGAGTCATTGTTTGAAATGATACTTGATAATACTGTTATAGTGATCGAGATGTTTTATATTGACTATTCAGCAACTGGAGTAGTTCTATGAGCCCGCGTAGTGTACAGCGGTCGCGTGCATTACCATGTGCTCTTATCAATACAATCTTTGTCGTTGGATCCGCCATATTGTATGCGTGTGTGTTGTGTGTGTGTCTATGAACTCTTCTAACCCGAAAACATAACATATCTGGCGACGAGGAAGGGATAATGCCAGGCTTAGGTAAAATAGAGGAGTTCGATCCAGCCTCCACCCATATCAATCGTTATTTGGAGCGTTTGGAGCAGTATTTTATCGCGAACGGTGTTCCAGCGGATTCAAGCGAACGATTCAAACGCAAAGCAATTCTGATATTTGTCATCGGTTCCAAAGCTTTCGACGTCCTTTCGGACCTGTGCTCACCAGAAGCTCCTTCGGAGAAAACTTATGGTGATCTTGCAACCATTCTCAAAGGCCATTTCGATCCGAAGAAACTTCTAATCGCCGAACGATACCGATTTCACAATTGCATTCAACGCGAAGAAGAGAGCGCCTCCACTTTCGTCGCCAACCTCAAACGCCTCGCTTCTACCTGCAACTTCGACCTGCAACTTCGATTGCGTCCAATCTTGAGATTGCCCCACCAACAACCGCTGGCCGAGCTGGGAAGTCTGGGTTCTAGATTACACTGCGCCGCTAAGCAAATAGCACATCAAAGATGCTATGGATCCCAGACGCCTGTTGAAATGGCTTTTCTTTCAAGCACGGACCGTTGAATTCATTGACGGTTTTTTAAAAATGATCACGTGATGACGATTTTTCTGAGCGAGTAATGAGTGAATCTTTCCTACCGTCGGGGAAGGTGCTTCACAGTTTGTTTGAGAGTTTGTTGAGTCTCGCACTTCCTAGCAAGATACGATTCAACACATGTTACAGACAAGAGTTCCAGATGTTTTTTTTTCTTCCGCTAGTACGATAAAGAAACATATGGATCTAAGACAAGCATGAAGCATTTACTCTGAAATCAGGGCTTAAAGATACTTTTTTCGTCTACCAAATTAATTTGAGTCCAAAAGGGGCGAAGACGTATTGTCTCTAAACTCGCTCTTTGCGCTTTACCGTCATAAGTTTACTCAAGTTGTCTGAGAAAGAAAACTTGTTTTGGGAACGCGGTATTCACGATCTAATTCTGTGCATTCCGCAGGCGTCCGTGAAAGCATTTGTCGTGTTGTCCAGTGATTTTAAGAACAAAGAACAAGATGAGATGATAAAGGAGCTGCAAGATAACTTGGCAAAGAGTATGGCATCCTGGACGAGCCCAAAGAAGGTTAGAAGTTATTTTGTGAGAACTTCGTTGGTCACGTCAGCGTGTTTTGTATATCAATACATGCAATTTATACTGACTTTAGCAATGGGGAGGCGCGGTGGCCTCATGGTTAATGCGCTCGTCTCCGGATCGAGCGGTCTGGGTTCGAGCCCTGGCCGGGGACATTGTGTTGTGTACTTGGGAAAGACACGTTAATCTCACAGTGCCTCTCTCTACCCAGGTGCATAAATGGCTACCGGCGAACTTAATACTGGGGGTAACCCTGCGATGGACTAGCGTCCCATCCAGGGGGTAGTAGAAATATTCCTAGTCGCTTCTTGCTACAGAACCGGGATAAGCTCCGGCCTGATGGGCCACTTGACTGGTATACAGACTTGACCTTACCTTACCGTTTGTATATCAATGAGAAACAGCAAATGCGACACGAGTCAATTTGCAAGAAATGGGTCCAGCTGAACGCTATGCAGGAAAGCAGGAAATGTAGGTTTTCAAGTTCTGTCAGAATAACTTTCTGCAAGTAATCCAAGGGTGAAATCAACGACTTTAAGGATATTTAACAAAATAAAATCTCCGAGTGATTTAAAGAGTGAAGTGCCTGGTAACATTAATAGTAGAGGAGCAAAAGAAATCAATTACTTGGAGGCTTGGAAACCTAGTTAAGTCTAAACCAGTCACTAAATAAATGTTTGAGTCTCTTCCCCCTTCGCACTATGGTGGGGCGTTATGGATTTGTTGTTTTTGAAATTAACTGAATACATATTGAGGAAAAAGCTTACAGCTTGAATGACTACATTAAATAATGTCATGCATGGAGGAACCAACACTAACATTGCCCTGTTTATTTCTTTCCAGAGAGAATTTGTGGATGCATTTCCCTCTACACAAACTGGCAAGGTCAACCGACACGAACTGAAACAAAAGGAGTGGAATCAGTTTAATAAATAAGGAACAAAATATTGCATGGGAAAAACGCTGAACCCTGTTAGGATGATTAGATTTAAGCGTAGTTACAAAAGCTCTTAATTAATACCACGAAAATTAACTATTAAAAATAACTTGTTGTTGATTCCCACGCGATTCTCAACCTCTTTAAACTTCTTTAAAAGTCTACTTTAGCGTCAGGTGAAAGAGAAACAATGATCAAATGATTCAAAGTTTAGTAATTAATGTTTGACAATTACTTTCTTATCAACAGATTACGTCGTTTACATAAAATCGATCATAAATTTGTTAAAGATAGCATACACTGAGTCCGAAATTTCGGTCTAACTACGACTAACCTAAGGGAGATCAGCGTAATGTTCGTTCAAAAAGTCTTACAATGAAGTTAGTTCTTTTACGTCTATATAAAATAAAATTACTCAACAAATCATAATTTTTGTTGTTTCGAGTAAATGACTATGTCAAATGCAACGCACATACGGCTATAACAAATTCTGTTTCTATGGCAACTCACTCTTTTCCAGTCCCCTCCAACCTACCTGGCATGTGACATATAGTTATTTACTCAGGAGTCTATTTACTCATTCTTACTGAAGATGAAGAAAATCTCTATAAAAACCTATTACCCACTGTAATTGTACCGGTCACCCAAATCGCCGTTTATTGGTAGAAAAATATACGCGCACAAAAACAGATCTTCTTGTAATACGTTGTCACAGGCAAATTGTCATTGACCTAGCTGACAATGTATTTTAACCATGCGATCGTAGAGCCTAAATTCTATTTAAAAGTAGCTCTCAGTTCTCTCAAATGTGAGTTGTCAGACGAACAACTGACCCCTTCCCCTATCCAAAATATTTTTGTAATTTTCATTGGCCCAGAGCTCTAATTCGTAACCGTTGATGCTAATCGTGTACTATTAGTGTAAGCTTCACGACCGGGCAAAAAGTTTTGTGAACGCGGAAAACGCAGCTCTAGTGGTGAAGCGGAGAAGGCTTGCAAAATATGGTTTCATAGGAAAACAAGCCTTACCATCTGTCCCCATTTCGAAATTTTCGAAATTTTTAGTTAAATGGTAAACGCCTTTACTCAGTCGAAGAACTCACTAGCCTGGAGCTCAAAGAAATGTTAGTCGATGAAGAATAGAGTCTCTAAGAGAATCAGAGAAAAGATCGATGGTTGCCCTGAAATCCGCGTCGCTTAAAAGATCAGATCACGAAAACAGTGTCCGAAAAGTTCGTCAAACTCTGTGCCGAAAGAAAAAAGGCAGAGGAACAAGGCTAGGAAATAGCGGCGCGTTATCGCCGCGATTAAAGATCGTGACTTAGAATGAGACACTTGAAATATTCCCTCGAAGTTTCTAGTATTCCGCACCGCGATATAAGATATTTTATCAATGAATGTTCGTAGGGTTAGAGATCAAACCAAACGAAGAAGTATTTTTTTTCGTCCCAGAAAGGCTATAAATATAATTATATTGTCAGTCCCACGCAAGTGTGTGCACGATTACTTATCAATTATTATAAACGGTCCAGATTAATTCTCAATTTAGAGTGAGCACAGTCACTGTATTTTGAGTTATTTTGGCCACGTACAAAATTACCTTTAAATTTTAGGAAACCTGAAAATAATATTTTATTACGATAAAAAAAAAAACACTAAAGAGATAATAATAAGCCATAGCGAAACAAGGATGGTTAACGATGGAAAAGATTGACAGGTCGGATTATAAACGACAAACTTGAAAAATTTAGGTTAACTTTTTCCAGACGCTCAAACCGTGACGTAGCTCCTTTACCAATGAAATATGGAGAGGTTCGATGCAACATAATTAATAAGTAATACGACTAAATCCCAGTCCAATTTGGAATTTCATCCAATTATTTCCAAATTGTACCGCATGTAGTCCTACATACACTACTAAAGAAAATCTTGTGGATAAGAGCGCTTCTTATTTCAGTAATTGGATTGACAAAGTTGTTCTTGTTTGTTCCATCTCTCGCTCTGGGAATTTTTTGAAAAATTCTCGCGTAACCTAAATTCCTCTAATATTACCAATGCCATATCGAGTGAATTGCTGTTAAACGGAAGACCAATAGATTCGTTTAATAAGCAATTCTTTATAAGTAACGACCATCATTTTTATTTCAATAATAATAATAATAATAATAATAATAATAATAATAATAATAATAATAATAACAATCTGAGAATCAACTTAACAATAAAAAAAGTAATGTAAACCTGCTAAGACATTTCATAGTCTTGACATCTCCCCACCTATGTACTTAAGCTAATCACTTCTCCGCACACAGAGCTTGCTCGCAGGCCTGGCGTACAAACGCGATTACACACTGTATTTTTTTTTAAATAGAAAAGTGTCACCATTTTGGTACTGTACCTCGTAATTTAATAGATTTCCTAAAGATTCGTATATCCATTTGACACTTTAATGTAAAGCCTCGTGTGATGTATTGAAACCTGCAATTTCCCTGGCCGACTGTACAGTAGAGTTTTACATGTTAGTTTTAATGTGTACGTCATGTGAAGTAAACTCGATTTTATAAGTAACTAACCAATTCCTCCCCCCACCCCCCGCCCCCTCCCCGATATGTACTCACAGATAAAAATCCAGTCACCTGTTGTCATGTTCACCATAAATGTATAAATAGTATTCCCTTTATCCAATAGAACTGGCAGGATGAAACCAGCTGCATCTTATCAATTAGACTAGGAGAAATTTATTACAGTATTAAAGTATCTCAATTATTAATGAGAAAAAATTTCCGCAGGTTTCATCTTCAACATGACGATGCTCAACTGTCATTATTTTAGCTTTGACGGAAGTCTTTAAAAAATTGGTATTTTCCTGGTGTCTGTAACACAGACGAACCGTTGTCACAAAATATATATACATTTGGAATTTCTGTTCATATATAATGTATGTATAATTTCTGTTCGTATATAATATATGCTTATTAATTCGCTTTTCCTCCAAATAAAACCTTATTACCAATGTGACCGAACCCCACACCTTACTCAGCGTCAACACCTCGTTACTACGTGCACAATTATTGCCGGGACACCCATTTAATAACTCAGATTATCACCAGATTAGCAAGGCCCGACTGTTTGATAACATGTTGGCTTTATAATCACCCACTCAGAGCCAAACTCTAAGGGGCAACAAGCTCGACCTAATTGGCATGATTAAAAACAATTAACCCGATGAAAAAGAAATAATAAATATGACAAAAGAACAGAACATGTAAAAGGTGCTGACCACGCCAAATGAAAGTTAATAACTATGCCAAATGTAAAAGGAAAGGGAAAAAACTGCTCTGTATAAATGTTGATCATCTACAGACATTTACAGGCAACTTTACTAGCGGCTTATTGAAGATTTAGCGGTGTTGAAAGGGCATAACTCAAATTATTCGTCTCATACTTGGAGAATTACTGAATTCCAGAGTCGTTCTTATTTCCGGTGTCTTTAAGTTGGCCTAGCTAAATGAAATTTTCTGCAGTTCACACTAATGCAGAAATATTGTGAACTAAAACTACCCTATTTTATGACTCAAATTTGTACACTACTACTAAAAACTACAGCTAAACTATCTTTTGCTATGAGAATACTTTCTGTAGTATATAAAACGTTTCTCTTCTTCTCGCTCTTTCGTTTCGTTGTACAGCGGTATAATTTCACTGTTGTCATCAAAGCGGCCAAACATATCACGGTTGTTTGAGTTGAACATGTTCCTGGTTCCCCACATTCCTTTCTTGGAGTGATAGTAGTGGTAAAATTTGGGCACACGTAATCTCTCCACCTCCATTTTGTAGAGGAGCACTCTGTAGAATTGGAGCAAAGTTAATCATCAACGGGCCAGCAGTAAAGCGACAATGATGTTCCCTACCGTAAACAATCAGTTTATTTTGCGACACAAGGTTTTGTTCTACAGTCTTAGTAATGCCGAATTTACGTTATCTAAGTTCCAGCCGCGGATTAATATTGTAAATTAATGGAACAGCTTACCTAAAGAGACAATCAAACAATTTTCAAAAAAATTTTCCTGCAAAGCGAAAACTGCCGAAAAAAATATCGTGCAAGGGGATCCATGGGGGAAATATTGAACAACGGCTTTCTACTATCCACTTCCTGTCAAAAATAATCTTTGCACAACCTATTGCCCACCAAAAAACAACATGCACAATCTAAAGGTGAGAAAACAATTTCATGCCCAAGGAAATTGCCCAATCCTCCCCCCGCCCCCGCCCCCCTTTCCCCATCAAAAACTTATGGTCCGTCCTTAACCCTTTGAAGCCCAAGTGGCCATATACGGCCACTTAATGGTCGCGCTCTTTGTACCACTTGTGACGTCATCAATTTAAATGTCATCAGATATTCTTGATGAGCAGATAGTAGTAATGGCTAGGCCTTTCCGCACAATGGTCAGGTCTAGATATCGACGACATTCCGACGTCGCAAATCGAAAAACAACGTTATCAGTTTTGGTGCAAAAACGGTGGTAAAATGGTCCACAACGC